ATCAATGATGTACACAAAGTGTATACATGTATTTACACAGTGGGTACAATGATATTCAATGATATGCATTGATATGCAATGTTATGCAATGCCGTGTTTGCTCTGCTCTTATTTTGTATATTTGTTTAATGGACGTTGAGATTGAATACTGTTCGTTATTTCCATATCCTTCATTCAATGATATACAATGATATTCAATGATAAATGAATTGTAATGAGCAGGTAGCAATGTATTACAAAGACAATGGTCTACGTCGACTTTATCAATAGTATATGACGTAGAATCAATAGCAATGGCACAATGACGGAAGCTCAATTATTGGCCACTGGCCCTGGAAGATAACAGAATCAGCAGCGAACTTCTAGCAAAATTCGGCCATATGTCTTCACATGGGAGCTAATAAAGCGCTGCATGTGAAGACATCCGCCACATGCGGCAAATTTTGCCCATGCCATGACAAAACTGCTATTATTACAATTATGTAAAATTAATTACTGCTTGATATATATGCAGTATACCGTAGAACTAGGGAAATTTATATGAAGATCAATAATATATGTAATGATCAATAACTTTTCAATAGATCAATAGTTGCAAAGATCAATAATATATGTAATGATCAATAACTGTTCAATAGTTCAATATAACAATAGTTGCAAAGATCAATAATATATGTAATGATCAATAACTAAATGGAAATGGTAGGTAGCACTGCAAATGTTGACAAATTATTTTGATTATGTCACACTGAATGGTATAGAGAATAATGGTAGAATGTGCTATATGGGAAAGGTGAACACCCTCTGGATACAATTTTGATTAGCCCTGTTGAATATTGGGGTAGTGACTATACCCCCATCCCTTGTGGCAATGAACCAATATAATGAGCTATTTATCCTAATGTAAGCCTTGTGTGACAACATGGGCCTGAAATAATTTCTTGGCAGTATTTGTGACCCAAAAATTTTAACCTTGGTATTAAACATAATGAAAACAAGACAGACAATTTCATGAACTTTTGTAGATGGCAAAGGGACATGGAACCAATACTATTACCCACAATGAATCATTATGACATGTGGGTTGTTGTATTATGACACCAGAGTTCGAATATTTGAATGGTGGGCCCTTTTTTTCCAGGTCATTCCTTGTTGACCAAACCATCTGATAAGGATGTGTATTGTTCTAAGTCCAATTCGCATTATCTAAATTGATGAATGTATGATTTTTTGCTTAATACTATGAAAGATGATCCAATAACCCATACCATGACAGAAGTGCCTGCATACTTAGGATAAATTAAAAAAGAGTAAAAAGGTGTTGTCAAGTGTCTGACTGACTAAAATTGAATGTAAGTCTGATTTGCATGGACTTACCCTTAAATGTTTTAGTGTCAAAGCCAAGAAATGAAATAAATTTCTGTAGCATTAAAGTAATGGAATGACGAGGAGGCTTCACGCCAAATTAAGCAAAAAACTGAACGTGGAATGATGGGTCTAATTGACAAGTAGCTGTGAAGTATTTTAAATAATGAAGATGTTTCTTGAATGAAGATGTTCTTGGTTTGACAAAATGTGGAAGATATATATACATGTATAACTATGCTTTTGCATTTTAATTAATTAATTAACTTAATTATATTTATTTGTCTATCTATTTATTTATTTATATTTATTTATTTACCTATTTATCTTTTTTTTTTTTTAATATCTATTTATTAAATCTATTAATTAATTAACTTATTTTTTTTTATTTATATTTAATTGTCTATTTATTTATGATTATATTATTAACATAATTTTTAAAATTATGGGCTAAAGCTGAATTGTGAAATCTTCGGCTACATGCCACACTTCCTGATAAAACTTTACTGTTTAACGAAAATTGAATGACAAAAGCCACAGCATTGAACAATGCTGCATTTGAAGGTGGGCTTATTGAAATTGACAATAATCAGCCAAACAAATTTTAACTCTTTACAAATGTGCTCTGGGATGAATATGTTTTGGCATAATTATGTTTTTTACTTCATATGAAAATTACTTCCGCCATTTCACGTGTATCTTGTATATTATTTTTTGTATATATTGTACATATATTGTTGAACCTCATGTACCATTTATACGGTTTGAGTGAATAACTTGAACTTGAACTTCAACTTGGCTTGTGGATTTTTTAACTAGAACAAGAAATATTAAATTAGTGGTTGGGCCTTCAATTTTAACCTGAATTAATTGAAATTTCTATTTCCTGACAAGTTTGTTAGTGTTTAGGTACATGTAGTTTCTAACACACTAAGGAATCCTTGAAACTTATTTATTTATTTATTTTATGTTAAATACAATGTGTGGCCTACAATTTTAAACTAATTTAATTGGAATTTTTTATTCCCTGAATTTATTTTTGTTTCTGTCCTGGTTAAATGTATTATAATATATTATTATTTTTGTTTATCTGCAGTTGTTATTTACTATTTAGAAAAATATTAAAATGTATTGTGACACCTGAACAATGACAAAATAGAGAAGTTTTGTAAACAATGCAATACGATCCCTTTATCCCATTATGGCGCCTGCGTCAGTCCCCTGCATCTAAATCCTCCCTATTTGTTTCCATTTGTATGTGTATCAAATTATTGGTAATCTAAATCAAGGGATTAAAACTGGATTACTTGAAATTTCTATTTCCTGACAAGTTTATTAGTGTTTAGGTATATGTAGTTTCTAACACACTAAGGAATCCTTGAAACTAATTTGTTTATCTATTTTATGTTATTAAAATACAATGTGTGGCCTACAATTTTAAACTGATTTAATTGGATTTTTTTTTCTCGACAATTTTGTTGAAATGTTTAGGTAGTTTTTAAGACTCTAATGAATCCTTGGAATTTATTTATTTATTTTATTTTAAAGAAGTGGTTGGGCTTTCAATCTTAATCTGCATTAATTGGAATTCCTATTTCCTGACAAGTTTGTTGAAATGTTGTAGTTTCCCACACTATTTATTTCTTATTTTTTTATTATTATTAATTCATTTATTTTATTTTATTTTTTTTTTAAATTTATTATTTTATCTATTTTTTTATTTTTGTTACCTACTGACTGACAATCCAATGGAGTTTAGATGAAAAATTTTCCTAAAGTAAGATATCGTCATTGAACACCCAAGGAGCATGCACTTAGTCTTACAAACATTGGACACTGAATATTTTGCTCAAGGAAATCATTCCATTTTCCTCGTAACTTTTAAGGATCATGAAATAACATTTCATGCATTATATTATGCAAATTCATCATCATAAAATACCTTACATTTCACTATAAAGATTTCAATTCATAGTTTCCAAATGAAATTCTATTTACAACACAAATAGACATCACAATATACAAAACTTCACTAAACACAAATCTTACCAAATCTATGGTATATGAACCTGATCTGTAGATGGTTCCCTTCTCAATCAGTCATAGCTTACCCCCTCAACTCTCACACTCCCTCTCAGATCTGAGACTCTTTCTTCAAAGATATTTCTCAACCAGTGTAAAACATGGAGGCACAAACAATGGTGGTGATGATCGAGGTGATTTCAATGCAAAAATAAATAAATAAACATTGAATATATAGCATATATCAAGACAAGCACAAGTGTTACAACAAGACTGTCAAGAGATCAGCTGATTGATGCCCAAAATAATTCAATCAAGTAAATATTAACAGTTATTGAGTTAAATTAACAAAGTGATAAATGCCACTATGGTTGAATTCGCAGAAAATGTCTTTCTTTTAAAGGTTCATTCACAGACAAGATCCTCGCTGCACTTAAACATTAAAACAATTTTACCGACATATGTTTACACGGAAGCCATGATGGATGGAATGTTTTGCAGTCCGAACCCGATGATATTTGACCCCGATCTATGTCGTGGCGGATCCAAGAGGCACGTGATCACTGCATGGCTATTGGTAATGTCCAATGTATGTGGGCACCATTTGTAAACGTAGGTTTTAATAACAACGAAAAATTGGTTTCGATTTCACCAATCGATAAATAAACTGAGGTCATGCTCGCAAACAAGAGTTCGTCTACTGCGGTGGTTGCAGTCGTTGGGGGATGTTGATACTTTAGATATGCTATGATAATATTCTCACATCGGGTAATATGGATGGGCCCTCAGTCCAGGATCTATTTGCCCTGATTATGTTCATATTTCCGACGTTGGATAGTCAAAGGAACACCAGATGAAGATGAATATTGTTGAGACAAAACTCGATGCTGAGCTTCAATGGATGACGGAAGATGGAAAGGAAGAGCAAACGCACATGCGTAATGGATGTGGCTAAATAAAGTCAGTGCATTTGAGTGAGAGTTATCCCCCCTGAACTTTTTATCTCTATTTGTCTCCATAACGGGACTTAACTCATATTGAGTTAAGTGGGAATAAAACATCAATTTAATGAAAATAATAGTTTCATATGTTTTGTTGATGCTTTCAGTAATTATCAATGTTCTCCACGAACTTTACGGACAATCCTCGTATATCTTAAGGTAGTAAGCGGTTCATATTAAGGAAATCATTTTCTGTATACCGGTATTTCCATAAATCTTTGATCGTACAATAAGGCCTTATCCTACCCTTACCCCCTCTCTTTGGTCGTTTTTAAACAGTTTTATTTGAATCTACACAACCAAATAAATTCAAAAATATGAACAAAAACCATTTCAGAAAGAGAAAACATTTCTCAATAATTTGATTATTGACCCCATAGAATATTAATGCCATTAGAATAGGGGCAAAAAAGTAACATGAGGCTATAAATAATTCAGTTCTTATCATTCAGATTTTTGTAATTTTCAATTAAAAATGGAGGGGGGATATAAATATGACAGAGGAAATTAGGACTGTAATAATTATCAAGTTTATCGTTTCTTTCTATAAAGTAACGCTGTTCCATTGCTTTAACACATAATTATTTAAAGAGTTTTGTTGCTTATAAAATTGGTCATAGTGTAAAAAATCAGGGCAATTCCCGAGAAATACTTAAGGACCTCTAGCAAAAAGTAGGTCATTGACCTAGTTGTTTGAATTTAAATTTAATACAAGAATCATAGATGCTCGGTGTAAAAAAAGATTTTTTTTTCTTATCAATGGAATATTTAGTCATTTGAGTAAAGGTATACTTTAACGTCCCTCTCGAAAATTTAAATTATAACTTAAATATCTATTCTAGCTCTCCCTCAGTAGCGGCTAGGTTACATGTGGCGCTCCCTTCAAGAGCGTACAGATTGACGTTGCGTCTACGTACGAGTTATGTTGTTGAACGCACCCCTGAGTTTCTTTACTGTAAAGTCAACGTTCGATGTGTTTTGATATTTTTAAGGAATATTCACAAAATCTGGGTTAAATAAAATGTAGGATTTGTGTAAAAAGTCTGTAAATGCATTTATTTAAATATCCATTCTAGAATTTAATTGTGATCGCTAGGCAAAGGTAATATTGATAGACAAATCTTTTTCTAATCAAATAATAATTTAACAAATATGATGGAAAGCCGGTTGGGGGACTCAAATATATCATAAAAGTGTTTATTTATTGAATCAACAGATACTGTCAACAGGCCTCATTCCAAAAGAAGATGTTCATGGCAGAAAAATCATCGAATCTTCCAAACAAATATTATTGATTTCAGTTAAGTGTGCAGTGTTGCATTACGTCACGATATTTTTCGACAGATGCATCCAGCATAAATAATTTGCACCCCGCTGTGTGATTAGTCATTATCAACAGCGACACGGATATTGTTGCACGAACAACCAATCAGGGTTAAGAAGAAAGTTCCAGTCATAAAGCGTGCGGTAAGGAGGCGTGTACTATTTACCTTGAGCGCAGCTTTCATCATACATGCAAGTTGTGATGTAATGCAAAACTGCACTCTTTACTGAAATTGATAATAATGATTTCAATATGATGCTGGTCTGGAAGGGTACAGGCATTGAAGTGATGACAGATTTAACGTCACCTATTCTACTGTGTACAGATGCTTCATGCGGACTCATGCTCTACAATGCCTGTCTTCAGAGACAATTAAGTGACCTACTGGTTAGTGCCTTTGTGAGTGTGTGTGTGTAGCTAAAGGTGTTTATTTACAAGCTTTCACTTTTATATTTTTAGTAGGGGGAATGCCAAGCAAAAACGCCTTCCAAAAATATGGAATTCTTATTTAGGGGACACAATAAAAAGTAACCTTCTTTTCTTAATCTAAATATCTCAATCATAAGGGACACGTGCCCTCTCAGGTTTTAAAGAGTATCCACAAAAATGTCATACAATTTTAATCCAATGCAAGACCCAAAAATTCTTTATGCAAAGATCTAAATTCATATACATGTATAAATATTCAGTGAAAAGAATTAAACTGGAATTTTTATCGTTACAGGAGCTAAGGCAAATGAAGTCATGGAAGGTTCGAGTTTTAGAGGCTGTCGACGGATGTCACATAAAGATAACAGCTCCATAAGAAAAATTTCATCTGCTTCTCTTTCTATAGCTAATCTCTGCATTTCCATTTCCTGTCTCTTCTATCCTTTCCATACGCTCATCTCCTTCAAATGCAGAGACATATTTCCACAATTCATTCTCGTTGTAGTCGGTGTCGATGTTGTCGATGTAAACTTTTGACATTTTCATTATCTCAAGAACCACTGGGCTTATTATAACCCAACTGGCCACAAAGTATCCTTGGGTGAAGGGGATCGATTCAAGTTTGTTCAAATGAAGAGCCACGCCCTCTTCCAAGGGTAGGTAATTATGAATTAGTGAAAAATTAATGGCATTTTTTTAAAAACTTTCACTGGACCAGGGAAGGTATAACTCATGTGGATACATCTTCATGTAGTGTTGATTCAAGTTTGTTTAAATCATGATCCCGGAGGAAGGGGTGGGGTGGATGGGTGGGGGGTAGGGTTTCGGTCACAATGTGGAATAAAAGTTTTAACGTTGGAATACATAGGAAAAATATTTAAAAATCTTCTTCTCAAGAACCACTAGGCCAGGAAAGATGAAACTTCTGTAGAAGCATCATCTGGTAATGTAGATTAAAGTTTGTTCAAATCATGACCCCTTGAGGGTAGGGTGGGGTCACAATTGGGTGTCAAAGTTTAACATTGGAAAACATAGTAAAAATCTCATTTTCAAGAAATACTTGGTCAGGAAAGATGAAACTCATGTAGAAGCTTCTTCTGGTTCTGTACATGTATATTCAATTTTGTTCATATCATGATCCCCAGGAGAAGGCCACAATGGTGTATCAAAGTTTAACATAAGGATAAAGAGGAACAATCTTTAAAAATCTCAAGAACCACTTGGCCAGAAAAGATAGAACTCATGTGGAATCATTCTCAGGTAGTGTAGATTCAAGTTTGTTCAAATCATGGCCCCTGGAGGTAGGATGGGGTTCCAATCGCCGATCAAAGATTTAAATGGGTATATATAGGGAAAATACCTTAAAAATTTTCTTAGGAATTATTGAGAAATGAAAGATGAAATTCTTGTGAAATAATCCTCAGGTAATCTTAATTTAAGTATCTTCAAAATATAGGGGTAGGGTGGGGACACAACAGCCGAGCAAATTTTTACATTGGAATATTTAGGAAAAATCTTTAAAAATCCTTTTCCCAAGGTCCATAGGGACAGGAATGATGAAACTCATGTGGAATCATCCTCAGGTAGTGTACCTGGTAGATTCCAGTTTTTCAAATTATCATCCCCGGGGGTAGAATGGAGCCACAACGGCTGATCAAACTTTTACATAAGAAAATATAGGAAAAATCTTTAAAAACCTTCTTCCTAACTACTGCAAAGCCGTGATTAGAGATATTTATACGGATACATCCTCAGGTAGTGTACTTTCTAGTTTGTTCAAATTATAACCCACATTTATGGTGAGGCCACAATGGGGAATCAAAGTTTTACAATAAAATATATTTTTAAAAATTTCATGAAATTCTCTTCAGGGAGCACACTCTAGATGTGATCGATCAACAGGGGATGCTTGCTCCTCCATGGCACATGAAACTTCCTCAGATGTTTCAAAGGTACGTGTTCATTATGATTCTGATTTAAATTTATATTGTTTACGGACGTTCGATCCTGTGCTTTTGAGTCGATTTTGGTCTGGACTTATAATTCTAAAATTCTAAGTCATTTTTAAGTTTTAACATTAAATTTAGATTCTACCATGCAAATTTAACTATATTCATTGAAAAAAACTGCAATTAAATTCCATTCAAGTAGGAATAAGCCATAAACTATAATACATTTCTCAGGGCATTGTTCCTACTATATGCGTTTTACATTTGGAGTAGGAGAGTATTCCTATACAGTTTTTATTACACACATTTGTTTCCATTAGATGCCATTTATGGTTATCATTTGTGTCTCCGGCTGGCATACCAGATATTGATCTTTAATAGCCTTAAACTGACTATAATTTTAAAATTATTGAGTAAAATTTTTGAAAGTTAGATAGTATTCCTGTTGCTTACCACATTTTGTTTTATCAATGCATCATTTAACTAAATAATCTTTATGTTCCATGTGTCACTAAAATTCTACTATGCATTTCTTTTTTGAAGAGTATAAATAGCGCGTAAGGCAGCCATTTGCATTACGCATGTTTGACACCAGCGTCTTATTCGTGTCCAGTTAAAGGAGCAGGTATCTAAAGCATCAGAAGTGGGATAAGGTGCCATGGAAAAAGTAACATTCCTATCGATCGGTCCCTCTTGCCGTGTGCTCCTTATAATAATCGGATGATAAGGGGAAAAAACTCGAAAATGCAGTTGGTAAATATCTGCCTAACAATAAGTATGAAATTAGTATGAAAACCTCAGTCAACATTTAACTTAATAATATTTTAATTTAAGGGGGCCGACTATAGTTTTATTGTGTGAAAACTACAATAGCGAAAATCTTCATTTTTATACCATATATAGCTTACATTAACTTCAGTGTATATGCAAAGTTTGGGGGAAATCTACCGTCCAGGTATTTTTGAGGGACCGTCTCAAAATACAGGTACATTTACTATAGGATTATATAGGAAAATGCCAATTTTAGCACTTTACTGCAATAGAGATTTTGTTCAATCTATAATATTTGATGAGTAATACTATATTATACAATATATGTAAGATACACAAAATTATACTGTCTTGTTACCAGAGGGGCATCTCAAAATGCAAAAAATGAGCAAATTTTACTATTTTTATAGAGTTTTACAAAATATGACGTGCACAATGGATTTACATGAAAACATTATAAAAATGTTTCAGATATTTTCAAATCTTTATGTTGTAAATTTCAATAGCGTATGTTTATTACTTTTTATTTAATGATATTTTTTTTACCCCTTTCTTTAAAAGCTACAGATTATCATAACGTCAAAAACACACTGCAACGACGTCAACCTACCTATTTTTTGAAAAATTGGTTAAAAATCAATTATATCAAATTTTAATTACATTTTTATACCTATAATTTCTTAATTTTGTTTAATTTTAATAATTAAGCGAAAAAATTGCATTAAAACAGTGAATACGTTTCATTTTACTATGATGCGCGAAATATTGCGCAACGGAAACTATAGTCGGCCCCCTTAACAGAGGGCTATATAATTGCAGCTTTTGCAGCTTATACATGCAACTGAGTTGAAATAAATTTTCATACAAAATTTGTCATTAATTTGACATTTTCCTGATAAAGATATCATCAAAAATGAAATAAACATGCAAAATTATGTAAAAATAATTGAAAACCTTTGAATGAAAAAAAATATATAAAAATTTTAAATAAATTAATACATCTAGTTCAACATGATATTGTGAAAGAACATGTACATATTTCATCCAAATATCTCGAGAAAAAGCAAATTGAAGAATAAAAAATGAACAATATGAACAATAAATTATGATTATATCAAATTTAAAAAAGAGCTATGGGTGACCCTGTATTGGGAATTAGGCAGTATACATGTATAAAGAGACAGGAAGATGCTTTCATGTGAAATAAGACCAATCGTATTTTTCTGTCCTTGAGAGGAACATTTTTCCTTTGTAAAACTTGCGGTCCCATCCTACCCCCCGGGGATCATGATTTAAAAAAGAAAACTTGAATACCCCCCCCCCACACACACACACACAAACACACCTGCAGAAGCTTTCGTATTAAAATGACTTATCATGGCTTTACTGTTCTTGTGATAATTTTTGAAAAATGTTCCTATGTATTTATGTTAAAACTTTGATCGACCATTGTGGCCCCAACCTACCCCTGGGAGTCATAAGTTAAACAAATTTAAATCTTCCCTATCTTGTCGCCCGCATGCATATGGCGCAATGGTAAGAGCGTCTGCTCTAGAGTCCGAAGTAAGGAGTAGATCCTCACTTCGCGGGTCCGAATACCACTGTGGGACGTGGAGACCGGTCCTTCAGGTGAGACCATATAAACCGAGGTCCCACCTGGAAGTAGGTGCTGGCGTGAAAAAGATCCCTCACTGCTCAATGGCAATAAGTGCCGAGTATAGGACAAAATTTGCAGCTCTCCACCTGCAAGTAATGACGTCTCCATAGGAGTTAAAAATTCTCGAGATGGACGTTAAACAATAAAAACATGAAAACTACACTAACTTAGGGGACTTTCATATAAATATTACCAATCATAACTTTGCAGTTCTTGTGAAGAAAAAATTTCAAACATTTTCCATACACATTCTTATGTAAAACATTGACTGTTCATTGTGGCCCCACCCTATCCAAAGAGGTCATGATTTAAACAAATTTGATCTACAGTACATAAGGATACTTCCATCTGAGTTTCATCTTTCCTGGCCCAGAGTTTCATGAGAATTTATTTTTAAAAAATGCCATTAAATTTTCAATAAATAAAATATTAATTATCTTTTTCTTTGAAAGAGGGCGTGGACCTTTATTTGAAGATCTCCTTCACGCAAGAGTAATTTGTTGCAAGTCTAGTTAAAATTGGCCCAGTGATTCCTGAGAAGAAGATGCAAATGTAAAAAGTTTATGAGAGCGACGACAACGCCAACAACAACGACGCCAATCTCAACGACGAAAGACAACAGACAAATTTGATCAGAAAAGCTCAACTGAGCCTTTGGCTCATGAAAGCTAAAAACAAATGCAACTAGTTCTAATTGTAACGGGGACCGTTACAGATGTTCCCCAAACGCTCCCCAACTACCTTTTTGTGCCATATTCCCTGTAAGCTTCATAAAATAAGGCAAACTCTATGCATTTTAGACTTTAACAACGTTTTCTCAGAAGTATACCAAATATCTTTTAAATTTTAGCTTTGCATGCATGCGCATGTGAATGCATGTGTATAATGACCATATCAACTTGTCTACACTATCTATATATTTTAATATACTAAATATTACAGTATTTTATTCAAAAGTTAAAAAAACACGCTAATTCAAGTGTATTTTTAAATTTACTCATTTCACGTGCACGCACATTGCACGCATGTGCATGATGACCATACCTTCTTGTAAGGATGCGTTATGTCTATATATGTTCTAAATCCCATTCTGTTTGGTTGATAACCAAAGGAGTTATAGCCATTTAAAGTTTCAGCCAATCAGATTGCAGCACATGTGCATGCGCATGCTTTTATGATAATTCTTTTATATAAGCTGTAGATCTTCATAGTGTATGACTATGTTGAAAATTTCAAAGGATTTTGTCAAAAAACAAGAAAGATATTGAGACTTTAGTTTCAGCCAATCAGAGCAAAGCGCACGTGCATGCGCGCGAGATCTTGCTATTTTGACCATGTCAGCATGTCTATACAAAAATATATCTTCTTATTATAAGTTTCAAATCATTTCATCAAAAAATAGTAAAGTTACGGCTATATATATTGGTCATTTCACGTGTTGCACGTGCACGCTCTTGCAAGCACGTGCGCGCAAAATTCGAGCTTGATTCCCTCAAATCTACATAACATGTCTACTGACCCTAAAAAGGTTTTACCTACATCGGATGAACAGTTTACAAGATCACTCCCGGACAAAAAAGTACCCAGGAAGAAGAAGAAAAATAATAATAACTAGAGCAAAGCTCGTTGCAAAGCAACGAGAGGTCTTCCGTCCGGTTTTGACCGGAAGTGCCGGAAGTGACATCAAAAAAGAAAGCAATGAGCTAAGTCGTCTCCAGTGACTTTATAATTTCAATTTTGCATCAAAAACCTTCAAAATAAGCTATTTTTGGCTACTTCCGGTTTGACCGGAAGTGACGCCGACGGACGGAAAATTAATTTTTATGCTCCCAGAGACATATGTTATCCAAAAACTTGTCAAGAACGGCAAAAATACGCGTTTTTCGACTACTTCCGGTTTGGCCGGAAGTGACGACGCCGGACGTATTTTGACGACTCCAATAGATTGAGCTTGACATTTTGAACAACTTTGCTTCTTTGACGTATTACAAATTCTCAATATTTTTTGAGATATCAAGAAAAAACTTTTGGCCCCTCTAGACCCCTCATTTTAGGGGCCAGCCCCTTTTACAAGATATCATTCGAAAGAACTTAGAATTTTACACTTCTTTTGTTCTATATGTTTTAACAAAATATTTCCAGGTAAAAAGATATCAGAAAAAAGGTGTTCAAAATTTTGAAATTAAGGAAGTATTAGAATTTTCGGGCCATAGCGAGCGCCGACGTGCGGTACTTCCGAAAAAAATTAAATACTTTATACATATCTATAGACTTTGGTCTATCATACCTCAAAGTTTCATGATTCTATCTTGAGCCATTATTGAGAAAGTCTGGAGACAACCTGACCCTTCAAAAATCATAAAATCGACAATATCTCCAAACCGGAAGTGATGTCATCAAAAAATGCATAAGGTTCAAGTTATGTTACATAAGTTCTGAAAGTTTCATGGAAATCCATCTAGCCGTTTTTGAGAAATCGCGTGCACAAAATCGGTAAGAAAAAAAGAATAATAATAATAATAAAAGTGAAAAAGAAACCTAAGAATAACAAGAAGGTCTTCCGCTGAAGACGGAAGACCTTAACTAGAGCAAAGCTCGTTGCAAAGCAACGAGTAGGTCTTCCGTCCTGTTTGACCGGAAGTGCCGGAAGTGACATTAACAAAAGAAAGCAATGAGCTAAGTAGTCTCCAGTGACTTTATAATTTCAATTTTCGTCAAAACCTTAAAAAATAAGCTATTTTTGGATTCTTCCGGTTTGACCGGAAATGATGTCGACAGACGGAAAATTACGTTTTAATGCTTCCAGTGACATATGTTACCTGAAAACTTGTCAAGAACGGCAAAAATAGGCGTTTTTTGACTACTTCCGGTTTGGCCGGAAGTGACGACGGTGGACGTATTTTGACGACTCCAATAGAATAAACTTGACATTTTGAACAACTTTGCTTCTTTGATGTATTACAAATTCTCAATACTTTTTGAGATATAAAGAAAAAACTTTCGGCCCCTCTAAGCCCTTAATTTTAGGGGCCAGCCCCTTTTGCAAGATATCATTTGAAAGATCCTGAAGTTCTACACTTCTTTTGTTCCATATAATTTAACAAAATATTTCCAGGTAAAAAGATATCGTAGAAAATGTGTTTAAAATTTTGAAATTCGCGATAGGAGTATTTTCGGACCATATCGAGCGCCGGCGCTTCGTACTTCCGTTAGTTATGATATACCTTATACCCTTTTCCAAAGGCTGCTCTAGCATCACTGAAAATTTCATGCGTCTGTGTTAAGCGCTTTTTGAGAAAAC